AAAATATTAGATGTGATTTAATAGTGTTAATCAATTTAAACCCATTTTAGTCACTTTTTTTTTTCCGAAAAATACTGCCAGATGCTGATGTTCAGTGTAATTTCTTTGCCTGTTCAGTTACAGAAAGTGGTGCTCAGTCGTAGAATGTATTGTACCTTTTAACACCTGATGTGTACATCCCGTGTAACAGAAAGGGCAACAATAAAATAGCAATCCTACAGAAAGAATATGGCAGAAAAAGATCTGTAAGCACAGTCTTATTTCCTTTCGTTGTCCAGAATAATTATAATTCTTGAGCCTCCCAGAAATTGGAAGTTAAATAAAGCAACTCAAGTTTCCTTTATTTTGCACTCAATTATAGTGACTTGTGATTAAAGCGATGCATGGATATTTTAATACTTCCCATGTGTACTGAATTCTGAGAGAGTAGGTAACAGGCATCCCGAGTTAAGGAACTACCTCAGAGTACCCCACACCAGGCCCGTTGGTAATAGGATTTTGATTTTAGCTCCCCCAGCAAACGTGTGACCGAAGCAGTTTGTGCTACCCTGGCCTGTGTGTGTTCTCAAGGTAAGGTGTTACCTGGCAGGGGACGCGAGCAGAGGGGAGACCAGGCATTTCCATTGCTCAGGCCGCCTTCAGGGCAACTCCCGCAGGTCCTGGCTTGTCTAACAGGAAACGCTTATGGTTATTGGCTATTTGGTTTGAGAGCCTTGGTTCCTCCATCTAGTGGAATCTTTCAACGCTAGCACATTGTAGCAGTTGAGCGCCAGTAGCTTACTTTTGTGCTTCTAAATAAATGGATACTGAGTGCAGATTGGCAAGGTGATTCGGTTATTAAGAAAACTGTACTCAATGAGTACTTTACCTCTCACATTGTGACCTCTTAAATGTACGATTATAATTTTTGGATTTTACTTCGAGTCAAATATCAAACTCATGAGACTATTTTATAAACTGCCATGATACAGCAAAATCCCATTTATTCAAAATGCAAACATACTGTGTGTCTTTGTGCTGTATGCTTGACTCTGCAAAGTAATTGACGGACTAGCTAATACCAGAGATTCAGGTACAAGACGTCCAGGACATCATCAGGTCAAAAACAGAGCCCTGTCTCTTACAGCTTCTCCATTGGTCCTATACAGGAGGATTGGTGACCTAATGACAGTGACCCTGTGGCCCTCCGGAATTTTGAAGTGCCTTCTGAATCATAGATGAAAAATTTAACTTGAGACACTTTTTTCTATTTGTTCAGAATCTGTTATCCATTGAGTAGTTTGATGGAACTGAGTTAATCAGAAGACCCCAGCTGTTCTCTGGGTAAGCCAGGCTTTGCTGTATCTGGCAGTCAGGAGAGAGGTAAGCCCATGGCAGAGGTCCCCTTCAAAGCTGAGCGTCCCAGTGCGAACCTGTGGTTCTTTGACTAGACCTGGGGCAGAGGCCTCCACCACCGCCTGTGGTGTCAGTGCCCGTGCTTCCCTCCCCACCCCACCATCGGGTGAGCAGTCCCCCGGTGGCTGCGTTAGGCATCTGGAGCTGCATCACCCTCACCCAGCATTGTGCCACACTGGAGCCTGGTCCTGGCACCGTCCTCAGGACTCCTGCCCAAGGGCCCACGGCAAGACAGACTTGGGCTGTGGGGAAGTCTCCCCGGCAGCCCCGAGAGCCATGTCATGACCTACAGAAGCCAGGCTCCTGAGTTGGAGGGAGGTCCCTCTTCCTCTGTGCCTTGACCCCTTGGGGGATACCTTTGGTCATCTCTTCTGTCCCTTTCTGTCTCTGAGTGGAATAGCCATCGCTCCCCTTGACTCTTTTCTCTGTTCACGTGTTTGCTCTCAATCTGCAGTTAATTTGTGAAAGGCATTTCATTGGGCATTTGAGGAAAATTTAATGCCCAAGCTCCTCATTGACATAGCACTCTCAACACCAGTAGTGTAGGAAACTCATAAATGAGCAGCAGCTTACAGAGTAGGGGTAGTTCTCCTTGGGTATAACATACCCATTTTGCTCGTGGTTAGAATTTATAATTTTGGTAAAGATGTAATTTACTAAAATTTAAAATCATGTTCTCACAGTGAGTCAATTGTCTTGAGGATTAATCTGATTTATAAGTAATACTGATAGACATATTTTCTTACATCTGAGCTGAAATAAATGCATGTTTCTAGCATATATAAAAACTCCAGAGGATAAGTTTACATTTAACAAGATGTTGTTTTCTATTTTTGGATTTATTATTTTCCCCTTTTTTTGGTGGTAGGGGTTTAGGGGGAAGCATAATATTTGTATAAAGAACTGTCACCCCAGCGTGACATTTATTTTCCAAGGTGACATTGAGCTCTCTGTTGGTTTCATATGGTGTTTGTGTGCTGTGCGCCTAGGTTCAAGGCCTGCGGATTTGAGGAAAATCAAAGTTGTTCTTGTGTTTTTTTTTTTATTTGGTTTTCACGTACATTCTTTTAAATGTCGATTATTTTGCTAAATTTGAGTAAAGCGAGACCCGTTGGATAGTACCCTGGACGCCTGATGGTGTTGCTGAGTTCTGGTTTGTTTCTTCATGATCTGTGAGACCCTTCATTCAGCAGGGCGCCTGTAGAGACCGCGGCTCTGTCTGAGCAGCTGTTGAAGCTCCTTCAGGAGGTTTACTGCTGCCGGCGCTGCTTAGCCAGGCTTACCTACTGTACCTTAACCTCAGGATCGGTTTCTGTGGCGCAGGGAGCCCTGGTCTCTCTACGTTTTTGAGTTGGAACCCTGATAATCCACCCGCACAACAGCTACAGGCAGAGAACACGGATCCCTTCTTGTGTCTGGTTCTTCTGGTTTGGGATCGGCATGCTTAGTAAGGCCACGTTGCTAATCCTCAGTTCCTTCTATATTCTTGACATCTGACCACCAGCAAAAGCCAGGACCCCAGAGGGCGGAGCAGTGGCGAGAGCTGAAGCGGTTCGTGGGCGTCCGCTGGACGCCGGGGCCGCACCGCGAGGCTCCCTCTCCCTGCCCCCCCCCCTCCCGCCCGCCCCGTGCCTGCCACTGGATGGCCTTGACCCTGGCCTCCCGGGCACCTGACTGCAGAGCCCCTTGCCCTGGCTCCCGTTGGCAGCGGTGCAAGTGCAGCACATCGTCAGAGCTCAGACCCGGCAGGTCCAGGCAGGTGTGTTCCACCCTAACTTTGACCCCAAGAGGTTGAGGAGGAGGCGCGACCCCCCAAGCTGTGCTTCCTCGCAGCCGAGGTCGCGCGCTCCACAGTCTGCTCCTCCACTTAACAGAGGGTGGCCTCGGGGTCCCTCGCGCCTGCGCAGAAGCACTTGACTGCGTGGCTGGCTAGGTCTCCTGCACCGCAGCTTCATGACCTTTATGGGCCTTGACTGTCACTGCCCGGACTGTGCGGACTGTGGTGCGGACTGTGCTCGGGTTCCCTGGTTGCCTGAAGGCCTGTAAGTACGGGCCCTTCAGAGCCACGGCAGCAGGCAGGAGGGGCGGGCCCTCCACGAGTGGGCGTGTCCTGCCAAAGGCTTCCGGTGTCTGTGCTCATGCCCGAGTGGTCTCCGGAGGGCCGGAGAGGATGTTTGCTGGAGCTGGGGCTGGATGGAGACCTGATGGGGGGGGGGGGGGGGCGTGCGGTTGGCACACTTCATGCGCTCCCATTGGAAAACCCGGAAGTGATAGAACGTTGGCGTTAGGTCAGCAGGCAAATCAAAATTCCCACAGGTTGGTCACCCGGGCCCCCAGGTCTTCAGCCAGCATTCGGGGAGTCCGCAGAGGAAGGTGGGTGTGGTGACATCACATTCATCTAAAGCGCGATGATTGGTTTTCCACAAAGTGGCAGGTTTGATCAAATTGACTGCTTTTCGTTCAAGGCACTCAGACGCCGTAAGAAACAGCCTTGGGATGTCATAGGGAGGGGGCCAGTCGCTGTGCTGTATTCTGTTTGCTGCTCTATCTGGGGGCTGCACGATGTCTGCATACAGTATGGAGGGGGAAAGGGCATCAGTACCAAACAATAACCTTTATTTCTACAACATCCAAAACTGGTATGAGGCTCTGTTATCTACAGATGGTGATTGGTTAAACTATTTTCATAGAACAATTCTGTTTTTATTCACTTTCTGGTAACTTCTGTAGGCCCTGGTTCAAGGACTTAGCATTGCGTCTCATGTACATCTTTTTCTTAAATGTTCTTTGCCATTTCTGGAATTGTCCTTGGTTTTTCCTTAGCTCATAGGTCATAGATGCAGAAATATTATAGTATTTAAGGCATCCGCATCAAATGGCTTTGCATCCAGAAAAACATTTAACAATAACTCAGTTTGAAGCACCAAGCATGTGTAACATGGCTCTATAAACTATAATAAACGCATAATATTGTTAAGCTTTTTAACGCCTGTGCTTCTTGTTTGTTCCTCAACCTCTAAGCCACCTCTTTCCTGAGTTTCATTACACAGTGCAACTGGCC